CATCCCCTGCACCCCCCTGGTCCCCTCCCCTCTCCCCACGTCCCCCGGGGTGCCCAGCGAGGGCTTGGCCAGTGCTCAGCCAGGTCTCACCTCCCCCTTGGCCCCCAGACGGGCTCGCCAGCTTCCGCAGCTTCCTGCGCTCCGAGTTCAGCGAGGAGAACGCCGAGTTCTGGGTGGCCTGCGAGGACTACAAGAAAACCAAGTCCCCTGTGAAGCTGGCGGAGAAGGCCAAAAAGATCTATGAGGAGTTCATCCAGACTGAGGCACCCAAAGAGGTCAGTGGCCACGGGGCAGGAGATGGTGCTGGGAGGGACGAGGCTGCTGCCCTGGCACCTCCATCCCAAAGGAGAGCGATGGCTGCAGGCCTGAGGGGCTCGGGGGGCTGTGTCCTCACCAAGGGGCAGCCCCATCCCCACGTGCTGCACTCCCATCCTCCACAAGCCTGGAGCCCCTGTTTGCATGCTCAGCCTCTGCTGGGCTGTCTGCAGCCACAGGCACCCCCAGACACGCCTGTGCCCTTATGTCAGTCATAAGGGATGCCAGTGTAAAGCGATCTTCCTCCCCAAGTGGGCTGTGCAGCAGGGCACAGCTCATCCTCACAGCTTTGCCACCAGTGATTCTTGCAGGGAAATGAGCCTCCCCTCACCCTTTGTGTGACTGTTGGTGGCACAGAGCAGGCGAGGGGAGCCCATCGCTCAGCCCTCCAAAGGCAGGCTCCCATCCCTCTTACACTCTCATGGCAGGTGAACATCGACCACTTCACCAAGGCTATGACCATGAAGAACCTGGTGGAGCCATCACCAACCAGCTTTGACATGGCCCAGAAGAGGATCTTTGCCCTGATGGAGAAAGACTCCCTGCCCAGATTCGTGCGGTCGGAGTTTTATCATGAGTTGATCAAGTAGCAATGCAGCAGGGCTGTGCAAGGCATCCCCACTGCTTCTGTCTAAACACCCGCCCCTTCTCCTGCAGCCGCTTTGCTTCCTCCATACCGCCCTAGAACAGCACCCAGGGGTGTTGCTGAACACCTCCCCCCGTGCTTTGGACCGTCAGATGTCCTGGTGTTTCCTCTGTTGCCATCTCTTTCCTCTCCCACAAAAGACCAATTTGCAGAAAGTCCCTGGTGCTGGGACCCAGAAGGGTGAGGGATCAGCCCCAGCCCTGCAGTGCCAGGGGCCACATGGCCAGCTGACACATCCCTGGTGCTGCGGAGCTTGGCAGTAGCTGGAGGCTCTGAGGTGCTGACTTTGTCCTCTCAGGACTCCTTGGAACGTGACAATCTTGCTCCCAGCGTTGCCCACACTGCTGCTTTGGCCCGGGCTCGCTCTCTCCTCCCGGTTCCCAGGGTGCTGCTGACACTGCACAGGTGCCTGCAGGCGCTCCCCTCCCTGGCCAGGCTGAGCTCAGACACCTCCACTGCCTGCTGGGCATCACTTCCTCCCAGAGCAGGCAGCAGTGGCACGTACAGCAAGGAGGGCACTGTGACAGGCACGGCAGGGACCGCTGTACGGCACAGCCGGCTGGCACCGGGGCTGGGCACAGAGAGCTCGGGGTCAGCCTGTTTGCTTCCCTCCAAACACAAAAACAAGAGGATAAAACGAGACCTGTTGGTCCAAAACACCAGGACTGTTCAGCAGCTCGGAGCTCCTGCTCGCTCCAGCCTTGCACGACGCCCTGAGCTCCCGGGGCCCGTCCTGTGCCAGGGCACAGCCTGCCTGGTGCTGGGATGGCAGCTCCGGGCTGCCCCAGGGCTCTCCTCTTCCAGCCGCTTCTCCCTGCAGTAGGCACGCCAAAGCAACGCTTCTGCACAAACCCAACACAGGGACGTTGAGCACAGGAGAGAGGGAGGTCATGCTGGGGGGGAAAAGAAAGATTAAATTCCAGATGTTCAGATCCAATTTGAAAAATCCAAACCAAACCCAAAAAAACAAACGCAAACTCCAAGCTGTCATTGGAAACATGAAAAATAACCCCCTGGCTTCCAGAGCAGAGTGCAGACCCTGCTGAGTTTGTGTAGCCTGCATCTCTTGCTCCTGCCTCCTCCTGTCTGCCCAGGCCGTGTGTTTCCACAGGCTCTCTCGAAAAAGGACCATCTGCTTTCTAATGGTTCAAAGCCAGCCCTCTGCCAACAGAATAAATCACACCTGAGGATGGGGCAAGGACACAGATGAAAAGCAGCCCCTGGGGTCTCATTTCAGCCTTGAGGGAAATGTGATAAACCCCTGCTCCACAGGCCTGGATGGTTCATTCCCGTTTGGTTCCCTGGTGCATCATCCCCGGGGTCATGGCTTGCAAAGAGCTGCTTCATCCAGCCTGGCAGGTGCCAGCAAACATCCGTGCTGCCCGCGGGCTCCCCGGAGCAGCCCCTTCCCCGGGGCTCAGCCCTCTGCCAGCCACGGGACCCCATGCAAAGCACAATAACACAAACAACGGATTCACCAGCCTCTCCAAGACTTTCAAAATCCCATCAAAACTCCACCAGCCCCAAATATTTACACGTTGTCACTATGGCGATGAAGAAAAATACATCGGAGCTGCAGACAAATCCGAGCTGCAGGAAATGGGCTGTGTCTTCCAGGCAGGAGAGGGGAGGCAGGGGAAGGATGGAGGCAGTCACAAACGTGACTCTTTTTTTAAGCTCTGGAGCAAAAGGCCTGGGAAAGTCGGTGCTGGAGCAGCAGGGGTGATGCTCACAGGCATTCCCCTGGGGTGAATGCAGAGGGTGGCTGGGGTGACCCTAAAGAGCCCAAGGCAGAGCATGAGCAGCAGGAGGGTCCCATCAAAAGGGCACAGGACCCTGGCAGTGCAAGGGGGAGGCAGAAGCAGGGCTGGGTGCGGGGTGGGGAGCTCGGCCATCCCCCCTGCTGCAGGCTGCTCCCCCACCTCTGCCTGCACACCCTCCCTGCACCCTCCCAACGTCCCCGTGGAGCCAATACAAGTGGGTTCAGCACGTTCGAGCTCCTCATTTACAGCGTGACTCAGAAATGCTAAACCAAACAGGCTTCCCTGCAGAAGGACCTGGATCTTCCATTTCTACTTCATCCTTTGGCAGCTATTTCCAGACCCCCTCACCTGTTTCACAGTTAAATGCCACCACCACCAATGCCACAGGGCCGGGATGCCGCTGGAGGCTCTTGCCACGCACCACAAGGCCTGGGACGTCAGTGCCGCAGCAGGAACACGTGGGGCAGGGAGAAGGTGTCTAGGTATGTATGTGCTGAACAGAAAGGTGCAGGATTCAGGAGAGACAAAACAGCCCTGTTGGCAATCCCTCCCTGGCTCCATTTCTGCTAAAATGCTGGAAGTCTACCTTGGGGGCTGCCAGTGACCTACTGGGTGGCCAGGAAATGTGGCCACTGAAGCATTTTGGAGCTCTAGGGAAGTTGTGTTTGTGTAGAAGGGTCATTTGGCTAATTACTCGAGCAGGCTTGCCCAGAAAGGTGGCAACACCTGTACCAGCCCCATGGCCCAGCTTTCCACAGGCCCAGAGGTATTTACTATCGGGCTGATGCCAACCATATTTCTGGTATGAGATACTTCATGTATTTTATCACTCTAGCTCTCATGAAATTTGGCATATATAGCAGTATATAAACACAACATGTACTCCTGTACTCATATATACACGTAACATATACACACACATATATACTTGTAACATGGGCATCCCAACCCCCTGAGGCAGAGAGCCAAAAAGCAGAGTTTCTGGATGTGGTGCTCAGGGTCCATCACAGAGGGGATGTGTGTGGGCTTTGCGTGGTCCCAGACCCTCTTGAGGGAAACCACGGCCATCCAGCTGAGCGAGCACAAAGGTGCATCCCCCAGAACCACGCTGTGCCCGTGGGCTCTGTGCCACCCTGGGCAGGTGCAGGAGGCAGATCTCGTGTTCCCGAGGGACCCCCATCTCTGCCGTGGGGCAAGGCAACCCCACGCTGCAGCCAGGGCCGTGGGGCACCAGGCACTGCCTCCACGCCACCCTGGCACCTGCTCCCTGCCACGGGCACGTGTGGAAAAGGGCTCCCTGCAGCTGCATCCCCCAGAGGAACAGCAGGAGATGGTTTGATGTGTGTTTTATGGTGACCTCAGCGACCCAGAGCCTCGCACCTCATCCATCACAGGGTGAAGCACCCAGCTCCTGCCCTGTGTGCTGAGGCTGGGCTCTGCCAAAGCCCAGTGGCCCAGAGTGTCCCAGAGCTCACCAGGCTCCCCTCAGGCCCTGGTCACTCCCTGGAGGGTGCTGCACGCTGTGGCCAATGGCTGGAGCAAAGGCAGAGGGGCACATCAGCTCCCCACACCCTGCAGGTTTTCCGTCTGGAGTTCTCTGTGGGATTTCCACTGCAGATATTCATGTGGGGAGGATGGGAGGTGTGCACTGAGGAGTTGTGTTAACCCATGTCCATGTACCACTCAGTAATCCACACATAAACATGTATTTCTGCTACTGTCTCAAAGGACTCTTCATTTTGGCTCTTTGTACTGAAGGTGCAGCATTTTCTTACCCACTGCAGAGCACGCCCAAAACTTGTGCCCCAAAGCCCTGGCAAGACCAAGAGCCTCTGAGAGCTTCTGCCACACTGATGCAGTGGTTTCTCAGTAAATTGGAAAGGGAATCACCCCAGGGGGCTGATCCACAGTAAACACTGCAAGGCCAGGGCAGCACAGGCACCCCCAGCCCCTCTGCTGCCTCAGGCTCCCAGGGTGAGCTCCTGCTCCAGCAGCAGCAGCTGGGCTGCCCCAGGGGCTGAGCAAGGGCCAGCCCTGCTCTCTGCACTCACAGGGCACAGCCCAGGGACAGGCTCAGCTTCCAGATAAAATTTGTTCTGTTTGCTCAGGGTTGCAAAGCACCTGCATCAGGGAAGGGCACCCTGAGTGGGCTTCCCTGCTCCAAAGCTGCCAAGGGGAGCCTCAGACTCACCCCAGGCCCTTGGTGAGAGTGGCTATTCCCCGTGCTGAGCGGATGGTCAGCCAAGGTCACACCCATAAAAAGCCCCTGTCCCCCGGGCTCGTGGTGCTGAAGGTGTCTGAAGGATGTGATGTAAGTGTTGTTTCATCAGCTGTTTCATCTTTCTGTGACTTAAAACAATCTCTTAGTGAGGCCACTTGTAACATAACTTTCACATAACTTTTCAGAGCAACCTTGTCCAGTGAACTGGATCTCCAAGCATTTTCTTTTGCTCACACAATGGCATTTTAGAAGGGACTAACGCAAACATTTTTATTTAGACTGCATTCATCATTATTTAAATATCCATACAGGTTTTGCAATAGTTACCAAGAGTTCCCAGTACCAGGGGAAAATAAAACATAGCCACATGCTTGGCCATGTTCAGAGCTTTAGCAAGCCTCTCCATCTCTTAGCTGAACATGCATGGTGATAGGTGTTAGTACACTGCATAAATACAAAATCAAGCACATGTTAAAATAGAAGTTTCTCGATGGGCCTGGAGAGCCACAGCCTCCTCCTGCCATGCCAAAACCCCGGTGTGAGAGCTGTTGTCTGGGCTGGGATGCAGAGCGCAGGATGCACAGTGGCCAGAGCAGCGATACCTGGTAAAGGAGAGACCAAGGCTGGGGGACAGAGACACCTGGTGCTGCCTCCCCTGCTGCCCCTGCAGTGCCAAAGCCACAGCAAAGGCCGTGTCTCACCACTGCAATTAAAACATCAGCTGCCTCCTGGCAAAGCCCCGGAGCAGTCATGGGACAGACACTTTCCTCCTACCATCCTCAGGAAAAGTGAGCCATGCTACTGCTGAAATACATAAATAACACCTTCAAAAACTCCAACATTTTCAAGTACTCCCAAGCAGGGCCTTTCCTCCTCAGATATTGTGGTCCTACTCCCTCACAAACTGCTCCTCACAAGCCAGGAGAGGCAAAGCTGAATCCAAATGGCACCCCTGGAGTCTCAGGAACACACAGCTGTCTGCCAGAGAAGGAACACATTTCTGTTCTGCTTTGCTCTGCTGGAGGATTTAACCTGGGAGTGTGAAGGTCACAATTAACAGCTTAGGAAATAATGAGCCTCCCCAAAAGTGACAGCTCTGCACGGCCCTAGGAGAGGTCCTTGGCCAGCATGAACGTGGTGCTACAGAGGGAGCAAGAGCTTCCCGTGGTGACCGAGGGAGGCTGAGCTTCCCTGCCACTGTGGCTGTGACAACCGAGGGAGGCTGTCCCAAAAAGTTCTGGTCTCCCTTCAAGAAAGAGCAGGAGCTCTTCCTGTGCCTGGTGCTGCAGTGCAGCACAGCCTGAGCTCTGAGCAAACACTCCTGGCAGCCTGGACACCTGGGAGCTTTGAACAGCGAGCCCTTTTCACCTAACCCTCTGCAGATTGGAAAGGGGAGATCACAGTCCCCAGCGCTTCCCTCGGCTCCCTCTGTGCCCACACCTGTCTGGGAGCCACCCAGAGCGCAGGAGGAGCCGTGACCCGGCCGCTCTGGTCCCTCTGTGGGCAGTGCCAGGGCTGGCACGGCTCCCCAGCAGCCTCCCGGGCTCACAGGGCTCACACAGCGACTGCCCCCAGCTCCTGCCAGACACAGACCCCAGCGCCCCTACACCGACCTCAGAGGAGGGTTTGCTACACACACTGAGCCTGGATTGGGTTACAAATGCTGGCTGTTGCATGACATGGGTACAACGGGGACATTAGACAGCTACTGGAGACAGCTCTGTTGCTTCATGCCAATGAATGCTTTTGCTGCCATACATTCTGCAAGAGCCCGGCCCTGCCTCGCTGCAGGCTCAGGCGCACTGGGAGATGATGTTGGAGTTGCAGTCTAAGCTGTGAGTGTGGTTTCTTTTGCAGTTTTCGGGCCCACATCCAGAGCCAGGCGGGCTGACCAAGTCCAGGTAGTAAGGGGACTTGAGGAAGCGGCGGTAAGAATCTTTCTCCATGAGGGTGAATATTTTCCTCTGAGCCTCATCAAAGCAGGACAGTGTCGGCTCCAGCATGTTGTGGCTCGTCTTCTCCCGTGTGCACGAATCCAAGTTCACCTGAGGACCAAAGGGACAGTGTCAGTAGAACCTGTCCCAGAAGGTCAAATAGGAAGGGGAAGATCCAAGTGTCTCTGTACCATGTGTGCTCGGCAAGCAGTTGTCTGAAATGGCTGTTTGACAGCCCAAAATCTGTAATCTGTTATCTGTTATCTGTTATCATCTGTTATCTGTAATCTGTTATCTGTTATCTGGTATCTGTAATCTGCTATCTGTAATCTGCTGTTATCTGCTATCTGTTATCTGCTATCTGTTATCTGCTATCTGCTATCTGTAATCTGTAATCTGTTATCTGTTATCTGCTATCTGTAATCTGTAATCTGTTATCTGTTATCTGCTATCTGCTATCTGTAATCTGTAATCTGTTATCTGTTATCTGTTATCTGCTATCTGTTATCTGCTATCTGTAATCTGTTATCTGTTATCTGTTATCTGTTATCTGTTATCTGCTATCTGCAATCTGCAATCTGCAATCTGCAATCTGTTATCTGTTATCTGTTATCTGTTATCTGTTATCTGTTATCTGTTATCTGCTATCTGTTATCTGCTATCTGCTATCTGTAATCTGTAATCTGCTATCTGTAATCTGTTATCTGTTATCTGCTATCTGTTATCTGTTATCTGTTATCTGTTATCTGTAATCTGCTATCTGTTATCTGCTATCTGTTATCTGCTATCTGTACCCAGCATAAGCTGGAAACCAATGCATCCCTGCTACCAGAAGAGCTGTCAGGGGAGACTGACACTCATCCCTCTGGATGGAGCCAGCCAGGAAACTCAAACTGCGTGGGAGCAGCTGAAACATTGGGATCACAGACCTCTCCCATTTGAGTGTGCACACGGGATGGCCACGTGGCTGTAACTAAACACACCTTCTCTCTATCCAAGCTTAATATAAAATCAATAAAAAACCCACCACGTCCTTGCTAACTGGCAGAGAAGCAGAACCTTCATCTCTTGTGAATCCACTGACCTCTGCTTGCCTGTGCTGCTGCTTCAGAATTCAGGGTGGTGCCTCTGCCCAAGGAATGCTCAGTGCACATACCTCTTTCGTGGCCTGCACCGAGATGAACTCATCATAGATCTTCCTGGCCTTGGGGCTGAGCTTGGCTGGTGACTTGGTTTTCTTGTACTCCTCACAGCTGACCCAGAACTCGATGTTTTCCTCACTGTACTCGGATTTGAGGAAAGCACGGAAAGCAGCCAGCCCTCCTACGGATTGTCCGAAGGGAAGCAGGTCAGTGCTGGTCCCTGAGCTCCAGCAAACCCCAGGGACTGTGGGCTCTCCTTCCTGCAGAAGGAGCTGCCAGTGGGGACAGCTGGTCCGTGCCAGCCAGCCTGGGATTCCCACAGGCCCCGTGGGGATGTCACACGTGGGGATGTCACACGTGGGGATGTCACACGTGGGGCCCAGCTGCCTGCTCCCCATCCCTGCCAGGGGAACACAGGCAGCTCGTGTGCTCCCAGGAGGCCTCGAGGAGACAGCCAGCACGCTCCACAGAGTCTCAGACCATGGGAACAATGCGAAGGAAACCTCAAGGACATCAGTTTAGCCCACAGCTGATGGGAAGACAAAGTCTCCCATGGGCTCAGCTGCAAATAATATCTTCAGTTTTTGGTTCTTGTTTAACCCACCACTAACTGTAGGTCCCTCTTGCACAAGGGCTGAACCAGTTGCCTTCACAAAAGAGACAACTCAGCAGGCCAAAACCACATTCACAACACATTGGGACTGGCCCTTGGGCCTGAGCAAGGGGTCACCACCCCTCCCCGAGGTCTGTGTGGCCAGAGGAGCTCCTGTGTGCCCCTAAGAGCCAGAAGATAATGTCCCATGTCCCCTCCCAGGGCTGCTCACAGCACACATGCTCTGCAGGCAGCCAAAGGGCCCTCTTCACTTACTGTCATGATGGATCAAGTTTTCCAAAGAGTCTGCCCATTTTCTGACTTCCTCTTGGCTAAGCCTAGGAGGAGACAAAGGGAGAAACACAGGGCTGAGTAAAAGGGAGTGCAGAAAGGACAAATTTTGTTTGCTTCTCAGCACCACTAGAAAATCTTTTTCCCTGATTCTTTTAAGAGCATACACAAGAGACTGAGAATGAAATACCAGCTTTTTTAACAGATACCTCCAGGGATCTCAGATCTAACTCATGGGAATTTTGGGTTGCAATCCTCATCACCAGCCATGGGCTAGAAATGAATCTTCCTGGAAAAATTGCCGTGGAATTCATATTTATTTTTTGCCTGGCTGCATCTCTTGCTGGAGCACAGAGCTGGAATAACTCTTACTCCAATAACTCTTACTCCAATAACTCTTACTTTAACCTGTCAGGGGAACAGTAGCTATGTGCAAGAGAGCAATGTGGGAACTAGAAACACACAGGGAGCACTTCCTGCATTCATCCCCTCCCTCATCCTGGAACACCCTAGGGCTCATCTGTTCCAGGAGCAAAGCTTGCCCTTT